CATGCCCATATTGCAGTCAGAAACCTGAGTTTAGTAGATTGAGTCCCTTGACGAAAGCAAGAATTCAAATCCAGATTAATCAAATTCCTGAGCCATTTTCTTTTTGTAAAAGGTTTTTACTTACTTATGTTTAGAGAAAGGGGAAAAGATGAAGAAAGAGAGGGAGAGAAACATCAATGTGTGGTCACCTCTTCTGTGACCCCACTGGGGACCTGGACCTCAACCCAGGCATATACTCTGACTGGGAATTGAACATGTGACCCTTTGGTTCACAGGCCAACACTCAATTGGTTGCCTCAAACATCAATTGGTTGCCTCTTGCATGTCCCCAATCAGGGACCTGGCCTAGAACCCAGGCCTGTGCCCTGACTGGGAATCAAACCAGCCACATTTTAGTCACAGGCCAGAGCTCAATCCACTGAGCCACACCAGCCAGGGACTGAGACATATTTATATCACCATTAGACCATATTCTCTCCCTGGGAGAGTAATGCTATTTAATTAGTCATGAACTGTGGATGTCATTTTTTGTGCTGACATATGACTCTCAAATGGTCCATGCTGACCACTCTGATGGGTCAGTTACAAAGTTCTTATGCCTGGATGGGCAAAAGCCTTGTGATTGACTGGCTAGAAATCAAGGTTTCCATGAGTTCTGGTTGGGTGAATTTACCTACTGTTCAGTATGCACTGGTGTTTAGATTTCACTGAGGTTATGAACTTTTTTGTTTTTGTTTCTTTTTCCCCAATCGCTTCAATACTGAGTTCACTAGCCTTTGGTAATAACACCCAGCCCAGTATATTTCCTGAAACGGGATGAAACCTAAGGGTATCGATGCACAAATAGCAGATGCATAAAATTATCAGGTTGAACCAGAAAGACATGTACTGGGCTCTCACCAGGACATGCAGACACTGTAAAGACCCTGAAGGTAGCAGGCTTACAATCAATCTATGGTGTCTGACACAAACAAATATATGGACCAATGATGGGACCAAACAAAACTTACATGCAGAAAACTGTGGGCTCTTGGAGCTGCAGACTTTCTATTAATACACCAGGCAAGTCTTCGGAGAAGGGTCTAAAGCATCTATAAGTTACTGTTGGATGATCAGGAAGAAAGGGGAATTTTTTAGTTAAAGCAGGATATGTTGACAATTACATCAAAGAGAGTAAAGTACCTAGGAATAAACTTAACCAAGGAGGTGAAAGACCTGTACTCTAAAAACTGTATTGCCCTGGCTGGTGTAGCTCAGTGGATTGAGCACAGGCCTGTGAACCAGAGGATCCTGGTTCAATTCCCAGTCAGGGTACATTCCCAGGTTGCAGGCCAGTTCCCAGCAGGGGACACATGAGAGGCAACCATACATTGATATTTCTCTCCCTCTCTCCTTTCCTTCCGCTCTAAAGATTTTTTAAAAATAATAAAAATTTTTTAAAAGTTCAAAAAACTGTAAGACACTGAAGAAAGAAATAAAAGAGGACACATGTAAATGGAAGGTTATGGATTGGAAGGATTAATATTGTTGAAATGATCATACTACCCAAACTACTTTACAGATTCAAGGACATTCCTGTCAAAATACCAATGTTATTCTCAGACCTAAATGAGATAATCCTAAAATTCATACGGAGCCAAGAAAAGACCTTGACTAGCTAAAGCAATCTTGACAAAGAAGAATACAGTGGGAGTTATAAGGCTCCCTGATCTCAAACTATAATAATCCTGATCTCAAAGCTACAATAATCCAAATACATGGTACCAGCACAAAAACAGACCCAGAGATCTATGGAACAGAATAGAGAGCCCTGAAATAAACCCTAGTTTATTTGGTCAACTAATCTATGACATAGGAGGTAAAAACAGAAACTGGATTAATGACAGTCTCTTCAGTGACTGATGCTGGGACAAATGGAGAGCTACATGTAAAAAAAAAAGATAATGAACTAACCTCTTACACTATATGCAAAAATGAACTCAAATTCAGTTACAGACTTAAAGGTAAGCTCTAAAAATATAATTCTCCCAGAACAAATTGTAGGATGTAAACTTTTTGATATCAGTCTGAGTAATAACTTTTTAAAAAAGATTTTATTTATTTATTTTTAGCAGGAAAAGAAGGGAGGGAGAAAGGGAGGGATAAAACTTGAAACCCAGGCATGCGCCCTGACCTGGAATAGAACCAGCAACCCTAGGCTTTGCAGGACGATGCCCAATCTACAGAGCCACACCAGTCAGGACACTCTGAGTAATATCTCATTTGATAAGTCCCCTCACTAAGAAAAACAGAAGCAACATAAATAAACAAGATGTCATCAAACTCAGAGGCTTCTGCCCTGTGAAGGGAACCTTCAACATGACAAAAAAAAAAAAAAAAACCTTACTGAATGGGAAGATATACTCACTAATAACATATCTGATGAGGGGTTGATATCCAAAATATATAAGAAATTCTTACAACTCAATAACAAAAAAAAATCCAATCCAACACTGGGCAGAGGACACAAATATACCTATCTCCAAAGAAGATACACAGATGGCCAAGAGACATATGTAAAGATGCTCAACATAACCAATCATCACAAAAATGCAAATCAAAATCACAGTGAGATACCACTTAACACCAGTTAGAAAGGCTATCATCAAAAAGTCAACAAATAACCTGTTGGAGAGGGTGTGAAGAAAAGGGAGCACTTGTGTACTGTTGGTGGGACTGCACACTGGTTCAGCCTGCATGGAAAACAGTATGGAGATTCCTCAAAAATCGATGTTCATTGCAGCGTTATTTACAATAGCCACGGTATGGAAGCAGTGTAGGTTTCCATCAAAAGATGAATGGATAAAGAAGACAGACAGACAGACACACACACACACACACTGTAATATTATGCATCAATAGAAAAGGACAAAATCTTGCCATTTGCAACAACATAGATGGACCTAGCGTGTGTTACACTAAGTGAAATAATTCAGGCAGAGAAAGACCAATACCTTATGTGGAATCTAAAAAAACAAAAACAAACTCATAGAAACATCGACCAAAAGGATGGTTAATGGGTAGGGCAGGGGTGGGGGAATAGGTGCAAGGAGAAGGGGAGTACAGCCAATACTACTGTGATAAGTTTACACAGTGACAGATGATTACTAGAATCAGTGGAGTGATCACATTACAAGGTATAAATATGCCGAATATCTATACTGTGCACCTGAAACTAATATAACCGATATAAGATTGTATACCAACTATTCTTAAATAAAAATAAATGAAAAATTAAAAAGCAGGGTATGTTGAAGTGGCAGAGATACTTTTTGAAACAAGGTCAATTAAGATTGAGGGGACTCTGTTCACTCATTTAGAGACAAAATTAACATAACCATGAATATTACTCTCTAAAATGTAAAATTTGGGGGCTTTTGAGTATGTTCATAAAGTATATTCATCTGCAAACAACATCACTACAAATTCCAGGAACTTTTCAACATCTCCCCCCCAAAATAGAGATAACCATCAGGAATCATCATCATTATCTTCAACACCAGCAGCCTCCTCGACCACCAATCTCAGTTTTGGTTCTTGGGGTTTGCCTAGTCTGTGCTTTTCCTACACATGGAGTCATACAACGAATGCATACTGCTTTGTGACTGGCTTCCTTCACATAGAAAAATGTCTTCACGACCCACCCAAAGCTCAGCTTCATGTTTTTATATGGCTAAATACCCCTCCATTACACAGATAGACCACTTTGTTTATTCAATAATCAATGGATGGGCATACATGTTTTTTCCTCTAAAAAGAGGCTTTTATGAATACGTGTACAATTGCTTGTGTGGACACGTGGTTCGAGTTGTCTTGTACCTATACTAGGGAGTGAAAGTGCTGGTTCATATGGTAACTATTTAATTTTTGAGATATTTTAATAATATAATAATTCTATTTAGTGCATTGTTTCTGTCGAGTCTGTTTCCAACGTTTCATAAGGCATAAATAAACTCCAAAAGAGTCAAAACGGAAATGTTGTAACAAGGAACCAGTGAAATCCTAGGAATACTTATTAAAAGTGCCCTCATTGGATCCCACGCAAGGGTCAGCACCTCGAAGTTTCAGGTTGGCACAGAAATCAGAGTTTTTAGCAAGCTCCAACATGAAATTCACCCACCACAGAGGGTAAAGATTTTTGACGGGAGCGTGGAAATAAAGGGGCGAGAGGCACAGGGTTACAGTCCCTTCAAGATCCGCGAAAATGGAAGCCACGGCGGGAACCACGCCCCCGAGCGGAGAAATGAAGGGGCTGCGGACGCAGGGTTATAGTCCCTTCGAGCTCAGTGAAAATGGAAGACAAGGCGGGAACCACACGCCCGACCCTAAATGGGAGCCAGGGAATGCTGGAGCGGTGGGCACCGAGATACCGGCCCTTCATGGGCGGGTGATGTGGAAAGAGCAGCGGGCACCCTGCGCTCCTCTTTAAACGAGAACTGTGAATTATGAGCAGCGGACACCAGACCTTGTGCTTTGAAGCGGGACGAAAATGGACGGCGCGGCAGGCTTCCTTCCCACTCAGAAGCCACAGTAGCCATTCACGTCCAACTCTGCTCCACGTGGTTCCAGAGCGACTAGGAGGAAAGGCTGTGCATCCCGCAATTCCTTCCATGGGTCGCGCCAGTAGGAACAAAGGGTAACGGCCCCTTTCCCGCCTGGGTCCCCTCCCCCCCCGCCCCCCCCCCACCGCGCTCCTTGAGACCCCACAGGGTCTTCTACGGGGATACCAGGGGCTGGCAGCGGCTCTCCGGGAAGCGGGACCTATTCACCAGTAGGGGGCGCACTGGAGCCCCACGCTCGCTCCTGGCGTCCCATTTTAAACCGGCTTTTAGATGTTTAGGGACTTGTCTCTAGGGACACCTTTTCCCTCGTGCCCTCTTTTCACGACGCCAGTTGCCTCTTTATCCGCGGGCCCTGTGAGGGGCATGTTCATTCGGGAGGGTCTGGAGAGAAGCCATTACACCTGAGGAGAAGTGAAGTTTTCATCCCGAAAAGCCAGTGGAGGGGATCCCGGAGGATCAATTCCGTGGGAGACCTGAGGTAAGGTTTGGGTCAGTCAGGGGAGAGCCGCCCAACTGTGAGGCTGGAGGACATGGGAGGTGGGACCCTGGCCCAAACTGGCGGATTCCTGGATTCCCCTAACGACCCTCACGTGCCTAGACCGGGGGAGTGGACGCTTTTAGGAATGAGTTCTTGTAGCAGAGCTGTCTCTGTGCCAGACACACGGCCGTTCGCTTTCCATGCATTTGGGTCTGCCAGAGGCAATTTTATGAAGAGGATGTTACAGAGAGAGGCAATGGGTGCCCTTTAGGGAACTAGCCCAGGGTGAAGTGGGAACAGAGTGTCGTTTCTTGATGACTGGGCAGGAAAAGAGTCGTGAGTATTTTATTTCTTGGTCTGGTCCAGGAAAGAAGACTTAGGTAGGTGAGCTGTGCGGGTAAATGCAGAGAGAGAGGACCCATAGCACACAGGCAGATACAGGTCTTCACAACTGTGGAGATATGAATGTGCCTGCCTACGTGACCTCCGAGACTGAACTAAGAACATTTGGATGTTTTTAGGCATGAGCATAGCAGGAGTCTGTGGTTCCTAACCTCATCACCATTTCCCTCTGACATTTGCTATGGGTCGTGGGACCTATTATTCTGTCCTAAGCCTCAAGCCTCAGTGCCCTCATCTGTAGTTAGGGCATAATACTAGTACCCCCCCCAACACTGATTGGGTGAGGGCCAAATGAACTAATATATGTAGGAGACCTGTAACAGCACCTGGCTAAATGCAGGTGGGATTCCTGATGGCCTGCCCTGTGCAGTGTGTTTTTGTCATGAGAAAGCCACTTGGACTGCCATTGCAGGATGAGTATCACGGTGATGTTGGCTGAACTACACAAACCTGGATTGGAGAAGAATGGGGGATTGTTGAGTTTTTGCCTTTGCAGGGCATGGCTCTCACTAAGATGCCAGTGATTGAAGGTGGCTGAGGGTTACTCAGAGCTAGATGAACTTCCAGGGTTACTCACTAGTATAGTATTTCTTGCCTACTTATATTCAGACTCACAAGAAAACTGTTATTAGATTGGGAGTGGAGATACAAGCCTGCACAGAGAACTCTCCTCATGGAGAGTTCTTAATGGCGGGTGTTTTTAACAAATTCTAGAGAGAGCTGTATGCTCTCTTCTATGCACCCATGGTTGTCAAGCACTTGCAATTTTTATCTTAATACATTTCAATGTAAATGTCCACATGCCTCTAGTTCCTAACATTGGACCTTACAGTTCTACAGGGTTGGTAAATGGGTTTGGACATTTTATAAACTTTTTGGAACTTGGGTGCAGAACTGAAAGCATGTGTCTGTTTTTCTAGGAAGTGAGTCCATTGCTTTCATCAGATTCTTTTTTTATATTGAAAATATTTTTTATTGTTCAATAGTTATAGTTCATGTACAATATTATATTAATTTCAGGTGTGCAATGTAGTGATCACACACTTATATAACTTACAAAGTGATTATCCTCAGTAAGTCTTATACCCACCTGATACCACACATATTTATTAAAAATATGGAATGCTTTATGAATTTTCATGTCATCCTTGCACAGGGGCCATGCTAATCTTCTCTGTATCATTCCAATTTAGTATATGTGCTGCTGAAGCGAGCACTCATCAGATTCTTTTTTCTTGTTGTTGCTTTATTTTCTAAGATGTCTCACAAGTCAAACTTTTTCTAAGTATACATACATTTATTTTACAGAATGTGAGTGATTTTTAAACAATATGTCTAAAATTTACATCCAAACAAATCCTCTCTTTCACCAACACCACTTTCGTTTAAATTACTTGGATTTACATTTGGAACATACCTTCATTTTCTTTCTTTCTTTCTTTTTCAGTTTACCTTCAATAATATTTTGCATTGCTTTCAGGAATATAGCATAGTGGTTAGACAATCATATACTTTCCCAAGTGTTCTTCCTATATTTTCAGTGCCCACTTAGCACTATGCATAATTATTATAATATTATTCAATATCCTTCTTTTGTTTACATTTTCACCTAAGGACTAGTTTATTGATTTTCGAGCTGGGGGGAATAGAGAGAGAGAGAGAGAATATCAATTGGTCGACTCCTATACATGCTCTGATCAGGGGTCAAACCCACAACCTAGTCATGTGCATCCATCAAACCAGCAATCCTTTGGTGCAGATGATGCTTCAACCAGTTCATCCACTCAGTCAGCTCATTGACTGTATTTCTTATGCTGTACTATACATCCCCGTGATTATTTTCTAGTTACTGTACTAGAATCTGTACTTCTCAATCCTTTCACCTTTTTCACCCAGCCCCACAATACCCCTCCCATCTGGCAAACATCAGTTTGTTCTCTGCATCTATGAGTCTGTTTGTACTTTCTGTGTTTATTAATATTATTCTTGAGATTCCACAAATAAGTGAAGTCACATGGTATTTGTCTTTCTCTGACTTATTCCACTTGGCATAATACCCTTTAGGTCCCACAATGCTGTTATAAATGGGAGGCTTCATTCTTTTTTTATGGTCAGGTAATATTTCGTGGTATATATGTAGTGTCAGTTTTTTTCCACTCTTCTATTGATGGGAACTTGGATTGCTTCCATTTGTGGGCGATTGTAAATAATGCTGCAATGAACAAAGGGTGCAGATAGTCTTTTGCGTTAGTGTTTTGGGAGTCTTCTGATATATACCCAGAAGTGGAATTGCTGGGTCATAAGGCAGTACCATATTTAATTTTTAGAAGCCTCCATATTGTTTTCTTCAGTGTCTGCACCAATCTGCATTTGCACCAAGATTGCAGGAGGGTGCACTTTTCTCCACATCTTTGCCAACATTTCTTGTTTGTTGATTTATTGATGATAGCCACTCTGACATGTGTGAGGTGATATCTTATTGAGACTTCAGTTTGTGTTTCTCTGATGATTAGTGATGTTAAGCAACTTTACATATGTCTATTGACCATCCACCTTTATATCGTCTTTGCAGATGTGTACTCAGGACCTCTGCACATTTTTAATTGGATTATTTGAAGTTTATTGGTGTTAAGTAGTATGAGTTTTTTTAAATAGATTTTGGATACTAACCCCTTATTTAAGGTATCATTGGAGAATATCTTTCCCCATTCAGTAGATTTTCTTTTGCTTTATTATAATTTTTTTATCCTCCCCTGAGGACATCTTTTTTCATTGAAAGAGAGAGATAGAGAGGTTGAGATTGTGAGATAGAAATATCAATTTATTGCCTTCTCGTATGTGCCCCCATAGGGGATTGAATCTGCAACCTGGGTATGTGCCTGGACTAGGAATTGAACCTGTGATGTTTGGTCTATGGGACATCATACCAGTCCATTACCACAACAGCCAAGGCCGTCTTTTCATTTTGTTGATGGTTTTCTTTGCTGTGTAAAAACTTTTTAGTTTGGTAGTCCTATTCATTTACTTTTTCTTTGGTTTCCTTTGTCTGAGGAAATATATCAGAAAAATATTGCTAAGAGAAATATATTTCAGGTATTTTAATATAAGTTAGGTATTTTACTGTCTGTTTTCTTTTAGGGGTTTTATGCTGTCAAGTCCTACATTTAAGTTTTTAATCCATTCAGAGTTTATTTTTGTATATGGTGTAAGAAGGTGGTCTAGCTTCATCTTTTTTGCAGGTATCTATAGGTTTAATTTTCCAAACACAATTATTGAATAGACTGTTTTACCTCATTGTATATTCTTGCCTCCTTTGTCAAATATTAACTGACCATATATATAGGTGTGGGTTTTTTCGGGGCTCTCCATTCTACTCCAGTGATCTATCTTCCTGTTTTTATGTCAGTCCTATGATCATTTGATCAATATAGTTGGGAAGTATAAGTTTGACATGACTTAATGTGGTATCTCCATTTTGTTCTTTGCCCAGATTGCTGTGGTTATTTGGAGTCTTTTGTGGTTTCATATAAAATTTTGGATTATTTGTTGTAGTTCTGTGAAATGTACAATTGGTATTTCAAAAGGAATCACATTGAACCTATAGATGCTTTGGGAAGTATGGACAAGGTAACAATATAAATTTCCCTTTCCATGAGCATGGGTATGTTTCCATCTATTTATATCTTCTTCAATTTCTTTCTTCAGTGTCATAATTTTCTGAGTATAGTTCTTTTGCCTCCATGGTGAAATTTATTTCTACATATTTTATGTTGTTTGCTATAATTTAAAGATATTTTTGTTTGTTTTTTAGAGAGGGGGGAGAGAGGGAGAAGGAAAGGGAGATAAACATTCGTGTGTGAGAGAAACATGGATTGGCTGCCTTTTGAACACCCCCAACTGGGGACTGGGTCCACAACCAAGGCACACGCACCCACAGAGCCTCAAACCGGTGATGCCCAACCAACTGAGCCACACGGGTCAAGGCTGTTTGATGCAATTTTAAATGGGATTGTTTCCTTAGTTTCACTTTCTGATAATTCATTATTGGTGTACAAAATGCAACCGATTTCTGGACATTTAGTTTAAATCCTGCTGCTTTATTGAATTCATTTATCAGTTCTGGTAATTTGGGGGTTGAGATTTTTAAGGTTCTCTAGATACAGTAGCATGTCATCTGCAAATAATGACAGTTTTACTTCTTAATTTCCAATTTGGATGCCTTTTTATTTCTTCTTATCTGGTTGCTGTGGCTAAGACTTCCTTGTACTATGTTGAGTAAGAGTGGGGAAAGTGGATATCCCTGTCTTGTTCCTGATCTTAAGGGAAATGTTTTAGTTTTCCCCCACTGAGTATGATGTTAGCTATGGGTTTATCATATATGGTCATTTTACGTTAAGATATGTTTCCTCATTCCCACTTTGCTGACAGTTTTTATTGTTACTGGGTGCCGGATGTTTGTACTTACCTGTATCTACTCATATGATCATATGATTTTATACTTCACTTTTTTGTGGTGTATCACATTAATAGATTTAAGGATATTGTACCAGCCTTGCACCTCAGGAATAAGTCCTACCTGATCATTGTATATGAGCTGTTTTATGTGTTGCTGGACTTAGTTCCCTAATAATTTTTAGAGTTTTTGCATCTATGTTCATCAGGGATATTGGCCCTCAATTTTCTTTCTGTGTAGTCCCTTCATCTGGTTTACTGGCCTCATAAAATGAGCTTGGAAGGATTTCTTCCTCCTGAAATTTTTTTTGGAATAGTTTGAGAAGGATGGGTGTCAATTCTTCTTTGAATGCTTGGTAAAATACACCTGTGGAGCCATCTAGTCAGGGACTTTTATTTGTTGCAAGTTTTTTGATTAGTGCTTCAATTACATCGGTTGCAATCAGTCTCTTCAGATTTTGTTTATTCTTGATTGGGTTTTGGAAGAGATGTATGTTTCCAGGAAAATTATCCATATCTTCCAGATTGTTCAATATATTGGCATTTAGTTGTGTATAATATTTTCTTATAATTCTTTGTATTTCTGTGGTTTCAGTTTTTACTTGTCCTCTTTCATTTCTGATTTTATGTATTGGGGTCCTCTCTTTGTTTCTTAATGAATATGGTTTGTTAATCTTTTCATTGAATCAGCTCTTGCTTTCCCCTGTATGCTATTTTAGACTCTATTTCATTATTTCTGCTTTGATCTTTATTTTCTTTCTTCTTCTCACTTTGGGCTTTGGTTGTTCTTTTTCTACTTCCTTTAGGTATAAGATTAGATTGTTTGACATTTTTCTTATTTCTTGAGATAAGCCTAAAAAGCTACAAATTTCTGTTTTAGGCCTGCCCTCAGTATGTCTTACATATTTAGGGTTGTTGTGTTCCCATTTGTGTCAGTCTTTTAATTTCTTCTCGATCACGTTGTTAAACCATTCATTGTTTACTGGCATGTTACTGAGCCTCCATGTGTTTGAGTGTTTTCAGTTTTTTTCCTTTAATTGATTTCTAGTTTCCTACCATTGTGGTTATAGAAGGTGCTTCACATTATTTTCACTTTTTTAAATTTATTAAGAGTTATTGTGTTTCTTAACACATGTTCTATCCTAGGATATGTTCTGTGTGCACTTGAGAAGGATGTATATTCTCTTGTTTTCAGGTAAAATGCTCTGATAATATCAGTTAAATCCATCTGGTCTAGTGTGTCATTTATGGCCACTGTTTCCTTATTGATTTTCTGTCTGGAAGATGTGTCCATTGGTGTCAATGGGCTGTAAAAATCCTCTACTATGACAGTATTAGTGTTGATCTCTCCCTTTATGTTCATCAAGATTGCTTCATATATTTAGGTAATTTAATGATGGATATGTAAATGTTTACAAGGGTTATGTCCTGTTGTTGGATTGATCCCTTTAGTATTATGAAGTGTCCTTCATTGTTTCTTATTACACCCTTATTTTAAACTCTATATTGTCATATATAAGTATTGCTTCCCCAGCGTTTTTTATTTGCATGAAATATTTTTCCATCCCTTTACTTTCAGTCTGTGTGTGTCTTTCTTTCGGAAGTAAGTCTCCTGTAGACAGCATGCATATGGGTCTTGTTTTCTTCTCATCAATTCAGCTACCCTATGTCTTTTGATTGGAGCATTTATGCCATTTACATTTGAACTGATTATTGACAGATATGCATTTATTCCTATTTTTCTTTACAACTACAATCCCTTTTCACTTTCTTCTTCCTAAAGGAGTCCTTTTTAACATTTTCATCAGTTTCTAAAAACTATCCAAAAGATTATAGTCTGCTACTTTGGGGCTTTGCAGAAAAGCAAGCAATTATGGGAAGTAAGGATGCCCTCTGATAACCGCTGCTGTTTCTCCTTTCTCATTTGCCCTCTACTCAGCTGTAGGTGCCTCCTGCAAAGAAATACACAAAGAAAGCAATTTGAATCTGAAACTTCAGGTGCTAGATAAATTGGACACTGCTGGAAGATGACAATGGCTACTGTCTTCATTAGTGCAGTCCAGGCCTCACTGAATCTAGGTTCCATGTTTGAAGAGTATGATAATGACTCTGAGGTCTTCCGTCAGCGCTTCAGGCAGTTTCAGTACAAAGAAGCAGCAGGGCCTCGTGAAGTTTTCAACAAACTCCGGGAGCTTTGCCATGAATGGCTGAAGCCAAAGACTCGTTCTAAGGAACAAATGGTGGAGCTTCTAGTGTTGGAGCAATACCTGAATATTATGCCCCGTGAGGTAGAGACCTCGGTGAAAGATCAGTGCCCAGAGGCTACAGAAAGTGTTGTATCACTGTTAGAAGAATTAGAGACCAAATTGGAGACACCAGAGCCACAGGTGAGAAAAGAGTTTGGAATCTTGGTAATTAAACCAAAACAGTATCAGAGGCAGGTGGGATTGGATGGGACATTTGTCTCTGTGTCATTCTTCAACTCCAGGATTTCTCCACAGTCCTTTTCATGATGCTCTTCTACTGGAGAAAACATATGGATCAGTGGTTTTCAACCTCATCATACCCAATCCCCCTTCTGTAACAAATATTCTCTAACTGCCCAGTAAATGTACTTAAGTGAAATTCATAGTTAACAGGACCTACCTACAATCATTCCTCAAAAATATCAATATTATGCTCTAGTGTCTGCACACCAGATCTGGCCACAATGGGTTTTGTATACCCTGTGAGCTAATAATGGTTTTGAAGTGTTATAGCATTGTTAAATAGAAAAGAGGAGGAAGGAAAATAAGTCAAAGCCTGAATGTGGCACAAAAAGCATGAAATATTTACTATCTGGTTCTTTACAAAGAAAGTTGTCCAACTTTGAGTCAAGTAGAGTCTAGAAAGAATTTAAAGGAAAAGGAACATAGTTCATTACAAAGTACAAAGCATTTTAGCATGCACATGTCTGGGTTTGAGTGCACCACAAGACCTCATGAAATTGTCAGGGGGCTTGCCTCTCTGCAGACCCACTGTAAAGATGACAGTTTGTGATACAGCTCAAACACTAAGAGCAGTGTTGCTGTTTGTCATGTGATTTTCCAAAGTGGCAAACAACTCTTGGTGAATCTGAACAATTAGTAGTATTTTTTAAAAAAAATAAAAATTCAGTTTACACCCAGTATTATTCTGTATTATTTTCAGGTGTGCAGCATAGTGGTGAGACAGTCATATATTGTACTTTACACAGTATTCCCCCTGATATTCCCAGTACTCACTGGCACCGTACAGTTATTACAATCTGAATGACTGTATTTCCTATGCTGTCCTTTACGTCACCATGACTTATATTCCCAAAGTATTGCTTCCCTAGAAAAGTCAAATGAAGCTAAAACTTGCAAAAATATGTTGTGAATACATGACCAACAAGGTAAGGCTCTTGACAGGTTCTTTTGCCTATGTGAATACTTGAGGGGGACACTCCAAATTTGGTAGGGACCCAGAGCAATTCTGCACTGTTCATTATCTGTACTCCCATCTCTGTCCACTAAATTCTGATAGCCAGCGCCTGCCATCATATCCAGAACACCTCCTGGGGGTGGTGGCCCTGCCCTCTGTTCAAAAGCACTAAGCTAAGCCTGTTTGAGGCATGTGATAGCTGAGCACAGGGCAGCATCTCTGGAGAAGGGAGAAAGTAGTTCTAGTTAGGGACACTAGGGGCACTGGAGTCTTGTGTGTTGATGGGACTCTGCAGTTAGCCTGCATGAGCAGGACTCTTCCAAAGTGTGCTGCCTGTAGGATGGAATGCGTTTATGATTTCCCTTCCTTTGTGTCTCCTTGTTTGGCTTACTACATGAGATGTTGTCTTCATGTGGTATAATCCTGCATTGCCGGCATGGTAGGCACCAGCCAAGGGTGGCACTTGAGCACTAGCAATGTGGCTAGACCAAATTGGGATATGCTATAAGTATAAAATGCACACCACATTCAGAAGATGTAGGCTGAACAACAAAGCAGGTGAAATATCATATTAATAATTCTTTATACTGGTTACATTATGAAATTATGGTATTTCCGATACATTGGGTTAAATACTGCATGTTATTAAGGTTGACTTTAACTATTTTACTTTTCACATGGCCACTGGAAAGCTTAAAATGACTTGGGTGGCTTGCGTTATATTGCTACTGGGTACTGCTGGTCTGAACCTTAGAATGATGGGTTCTGGCATTTTTCCCAGATCGATAGGCAGGAGATGCTCTTGGAAGACCCAGCAGCAGTTGGAATGGCAGATGTGCTACCAGACATCTACCTGGAGACACTTCCACCCCAAGCAATGGGACCTTTCTCTGAAGCCCCAGTGGCAGAGGTGCAGCTCCCACAGGCAGGGCTGCAGGAGCTGAGTGATGATGCTACTGGAGAAGGCCAGGCCTTTCTGGACCCTGGTAAGGCAAGGGTTTTATTTCCTTTCCTTGATTTCTCTTTTGACAGCTCAGGAGCTCTACAGGGTTGGGGTTGGTTATAAATGCTGAATACCAGATGAAAATGGATCACTCTGATAAAGAGTAGAAGAAGGAAATGTCTCTTGAGCAGTGGCTGGCCACAAAGCATACCAGATAGAGCAGTGTTCAGAATCCCTTGAGCTGATGAACCTGCTCAGGAAGGAGGCTTTGACCAGAATGTTGTACAGGAAATCAAGGAGAGTTTGAGTGTTATGAATCAAGATTAATTTCCCCAGGATATCTTATATCAGTGGAATCTGTGGTGTTGTTGTGGGTCCCAAGGGCCTAAGTGGCTCTTATGGCCTAAGAGCCACATTCACATGTGTTATTTCATCAAATACCATACTCATTACAATCTTTTAGGAGGATGTAATTGCCTGCCACAGTAAAGCAAATATGTATCTTTTCCATAAAAGCCTAGACCGGTGTTTCACCAACCGTACTAAGGAGATTCTCTATAGCAGGATCACTTGGGGTGCATTTTTAACAAGCTGTCCAGGCGAGTTCTGCACATACTACCATTCAATAAACACTGCTCCAGACAATGTAGGAGTTAGTACAGGGTGAGAAAACCCAGGGGAAGAAAGGCTCTTAGAAGTTCATGGAAGTCTTGAAAGTGATCAAGGACTTTCCAAGATTGTTTATAGGGAGAAAGCACAAGGTTCTTTGGGCATACCCTGAGAGATATCACATTAGAAAAGATCATTATACTGCATATGAATTTAAAAAATCTGTTAAATACCCAAGTACCTTTCCTGGGTTCCTTGGTTTCCCATATCCTAAATGCATGAGAATGGATGTGCTGGACACTAGGATCCATTTACTCTTGAAGCCAATAGAAATTCTACCTCTGGTATTTTCTTACCTATGGTTTGCCCCCCGCTTTTGTGGTCTCTATTCCAAATGCTGTCTTTTCCCCTCCAGGTGTCTGGCAAGTGGGGAATTGTACTTGTGAGACTCCACCCTCTCCTTGGAAAAGATGGCTTGGTCTATCCTAGGCCTAACAATAGGACCTTATGTTACCTGTGCAACACCCCCCACCCATGGAATTCACCTCATAACATCACAGTAATGTTATTTGGTCACAAATTTTTCTCCCTTTCTGCATTTGTTCAATTTTTCTGGGTACCAAATTTCGTAGCTTGCTCTAGCAAGTTCTGAGCATGCAGAAGACATGTACTCTGTCTCATTTTTTTTTTAACAGAGGTGACCAGGAGGAAAAACCCCAAAGGACACATGTATGTCCATTAAGGTCAAAGCCAAACTATGTAAAAATGTTGTCATTTATATTCTAGCCTCTACCTCACCTATACCCCTGATCTGTTAACAAGTGTTTTAAAATCTGTAATTCTGTGTGTATGCCTGCAGCAAGTGGCAGAACCTAGCCAGTCATGTTCAGTTATAAATCTTTGTGCATATGAATTCCCATTACATGTGTGAATTTGCTCTTCTTACCAACAGTGCTAGGTACAAAGATCACATATGATGTTGAGCAGCACTATGGCTCTTGATTCGAATACTTTAGTCTCTTGAGCACGGGAAAGTCCAGTATATTTAACAAGGGAGAGATAGAATGATGTAACAAGTAAAACACATCAGTTAGGAGAAAAGGAAACTACCCATTTCTCATCACTGTTTAAAGTAATATAACATCCTTTGTCCTGCTGACTGGGAGGTCTTTATGTCTATATCATGGTCACCAAAGTCTCTTCCTCCTTACCACTTGTGGAGGGTTGAAGGATCTGCAGGCTGATCTAGGAACAAGATAGGACCGGGGCGGGGGGGGCAATAGCACACACAAGCTTTGTTGGCAACTCTTTGTCAGGTGTGCTTGTGAGGGAAGTCAGGGGTCAGAAGGGAAAGGACACAATGGAATTCTCCAGGGAGTAAGGGCTCAGAGAAGGGGCTTAGCTGTCTAGGTGATGTCACAGCCCAGTAGCACACTGGCAGCTTATTGGTCACAGAATTCCAAAGCGCAGTGGCAGCTAGGAATCATATAACTGCAAGGCTCCATCTTTTCAATGGCTGGCAGTTGTGGGGTGATATTTTATGGGCTATGCAAAGGAGGGTGGCTCTAAATGGCTAAAAATATGCTTCTGGGGCTAATTTTCAAAAAACTGGTTGTGAGAGAATTTGAGGGTGGCACTTGCAGGCTTTCGAGTAAGACATCCCAGCCGGGAGTGAAGAACTGAACAACCCAGTACAAAGAACTTTTGTACTGGGAACTTCACTCTCCAGCTGGGAGTGAACAACTGAACGAGCCCAGTACAAAGAGGGCTCGTTCACACCCTTAGACTCATTTCCAGAACAACCTTTAGGGTGGCTACTGTGGCATTTGAGGGCAAAGAGAAGAGCGCTGCCAACAGAAGCAGGCATAGAGGCATGACTTCTGACTGACATTCAATATGTACCAAACTCCTCTGGGGCCAAGCCATAAAAGATGCACTGTGAGCATCCTTACAGGGGCATATATCAGCAAGACAAATTTCTAGGTGAGGAACGATTGGTTAGTGGGCTTATACATTTAAACCTTTAATAGATATGGTTGAATGTCCTCAAAATTACTGTACCAATTTTCCCTCCCATTCCAGCATGTGAGTGCCTGTGTCTGCTCACCTTCACACACTGGCTTGCCTTATGATCAGTGCCATGGCTGTTTCCCCCCATGTTGGCAGACAGAAGGAGGGTTCATATCTGTGAAGATCTTTTTAATCAGTGTCCAGTTCATCCAGTATTTGTGATAGTTTTTCACTGACTGCATGAGCAGAAGGTGGGAACTGAGGTCAGAAGGGTGGCAGACAAGTCAAGGGGGGATGGATAATGGCCTTCACTGACATGGGCTGTGAACATTGGTTGTGGAATACAAATTAGTGATAGTGGCAGGAGGAGGGCTCTGAGTGTGCAGAAAGTGGAGGCTGAGTGCACCTCAGCCGCAAGAATCTGAAAATGACACAGGAGGAAGGTGGGAGTGGGGTAGGGTTGGTAGACAGTTAAGAAGTGCATGAGGCGAATATCCAGCAAGGAGCTCAAGTTTGGGTCCGCCTCTTTGATGAAAGCTGGCACCAGGGGGTGCCATGCTGGGGTGAGTAAGTAAGGTGACAGTGTTCAGTCTTCTTTAGTTGGTGCTGCCCAGAAAGGGGCAGCTGGACTGATGGTAAGTCCATGAGACCTAGCTGCCTGGTGATGATATTCCTGGCCTTGTTCTCATGGGTGCTAGATTCTGTCTCTGGGGCTGCTTCAGTCCTTGACTAGTCATGTCTTTAGCTCCATTTTACCCAAGGGGGAAGATGTTTGGGTTGGTTTAAGGTGACTTGTGATGAAGTTTAGAGCCTGAAGAATATCAAGTCTGTGCTCTATGTATGGGATGGGAACCCCCCATAGAAACACATCCTTTAATTCTGAACTTATTTTCACATCTCTGCTATGGGGGGATTGAGGACTTCCAGGTTTCTGCCACCCTAAGGCTGTGCTGTGCTGCTGTCCACCCACCACCTTTCCAGTAGTTCACACTTTCACTTGTGGCGCCTTTCTTTTAATCCATGACATGCAGTTTTATTTGACCTGGGGCTCATACCCTCTCATTCTAACCTTACTTTTGAAAATTAGGCATCAATAAAATGCACAGTTGTATTTAGAATCTCTTCATTTGAAGTATCTGGCCTTTTAAAAATAAAACTAGGAAATAGGGTGTTTTAGTCAACTTCCTGTGCTTTGATATAATGTCCTGAAAGCTAAATTTTCCTTCAGATCAACATTATCCACACTGACTTGCTAATGTCATTTTACTAATTCCAGTATTTAAACATTGCCCTGTATTTCCACCTGAAATGAGCCATTTCCAACCCACACTTTACTACAGACCAGTAAACTTGGCCAGAGGTGAGGTAGGGGTGTGCAAAAGAGGGTGGAAACACAGCAGCTCTCACTGAGGAGAGGTGGTAGGATATAGGGGACTTGTGGTTTTTCTTAGATTGAGTTAGAAACACTGCTGGATGATGATTTTGGTTAGTTTCAAGAGAATCTACTTCTAGACTTTAGCTGAAACAAACATATACAGGTTATTTTTTTTACCTGTTGCTTACCCACTTCAGTTGTCATAATTTGAATATTTCTTACTAAAATTACTCCAGTAACCAGTTTCCTAACCCCCACTTTGGCCTCTCTCTTTTTTTTACTTGGTATTAAGTTACACAGTGTTTCTCAGTTTTAATATGGCAGCACTATAGGAAGGCTGATTCCATATTATGGCTCTCACCTACACAATCCCATTCTCCAAACAACAGTGGAACACATTCAGTGTATTGACTTCATAAGGGAATTGATTCACCTTCCCTCCATACACTGCAGGAGGAATCGCTTTGAGTTGAATACAATGGGATCTCCCCAACCCCCAGTTTGGGTTTTGTTCTTATGTTGAAAAACAAAAAACACAGCAAAAATGACTTGTCAGAAGCTCCTGGTGAAGCAATGCTGACAAGGTAGTGGGCAGATATTGAGAGATCGCATGTCCTAGAAAGAGACCTATACTCTGCATAAACCTGTATTGACTCAAAACTACCCTTCCTCCCATCTCTCTCCTGTGGCCAGCATACCAACCACCAAAGCCTGACCCCATAGACCCCTGGGTGAAGCAACTACAGGACTGTATGGAAGTGGAACAATTACAATGGCTTGACTTCAATACAGGTAGGTGAGGGTTCATGTGATGCTTTGGAAAACCTAAAGAGATTTCTATGCTTACTCCTAGAGTAAAGAGGTTTGGGATAGCACTTGGAAGTTTTTGTCTTCCCACTAGCTATTGAGCATAACTCTTCTCATTTGCTACCTATCCATTCTCCTTGGAATATGGTGAGATCTGCAATTTCTATTCATGCTCTGTATTTTGATGTTGGGAGAGAAAATGTGTCAAAGCAGAGAAAACCTGGAGAGTATGTGTTTATTTTCTATTTCTTTAGACAGAAATGCACCTCTTGGTCCCTGTTTCCCAGAAGACTCGGAACACCCAAGGAATCAACGGGAAAGTCCCACAGAGCATGTACCCAGAGAGTACACACTGCTTGTGTGTGATCAGAACCCCTTTCCAGAAGAAAGAGCTGAGATATACAACCAGGAAGAACCTCTCAGCCCCAGAGCCCTTGAGGAAAACCATGCCCCAAATAGCCCACACAAGTGTTCTTACTGTGGGAAAGAATTTGTTTCTAGTAAGGTACTTAATGGGCACCTGAAAATTCATGTGGGAGATCTCCCTCATGTGTGCCTTGAATGTGGGAAAAGATTCCTTCGTAAATCCAACCTACAAAGGCATGTTCAAGTTCACAGAAGGGAGGCACCATATAAATGCTATGGGTGTGAGAAACATTTCAGTCAGTTGTCACACCTCATAGAACACCAGAAAACTGCTTCTGGTCAAGAAGTATACAGTTGCCCTGAGTGTGGGGAGCGATTTTGCAATAGAAAAGGTTTTGCAAACCACCTAAAAATCCACACAGATGGAAAACCTTTTAAATGTCACAGTTGTGGAAAAACATTTCATCGACGAAGAGACCTTCGTGTGCACTACATGACACACACTGAAGAGAGACCATTTACGTGTGAGCATTGTGGGAAAAGCTATAGGCATAAATCAAGCCTTGCTTTTCATTTAAGAAACCATTCAGGGGAGAAGCCATAGAGGCCCACCCATTGTTTTACAAGCTTCATAAAGAAAGCATGCTTTAATGTGCACCAAACTGCTACTCACTTTAGAGAATTCTTTGAGCATTTGTTTAGGAAATCAGTTTCTACACAAACTGACACAAATCTCTCCTAGCTTTAACCTCCATTATGCTGTCTTGGAAGAACAGTTTTCTTTGAGCTTATTTATAAGAACAGCTTTGTGTTTGCTGTGCTTAAAATCCATCTTCCAAGGCATATAAATTCTACAGCAGGGGCGTCAAACTGATTTTCACTAGCAGCCACTTCAGTCTTTAAAGGGTTGAATGTAATTTTAGGACTGTGTAAATGTAACTACTCCTTAACTAGGGGCAAGGAGCTCGAGGCTCCCAACAGGTAGAAACAAGGTAGAAGCCTGGATTTGGCCCTCAGGCCTTGTGTTTGACACCTGTGTTCTAGAGTATTCACTGATTCTTGACACTGTCCCAGACATAATTATTTCTTTTTTAAAATAATTATTTTATTCTTGTTCAATTACAGTTATCTGCATTTTCCCCCCACTCCCCCAACCCCAGCCAAACCCACCTCTCGCCCTTGCTTCCACCATCCCCCTTAGTTTTGTCCATTTGTCCTTTATAGTAGTTCCTGAAAACCCTTCCCCTCATTATCCCCTCCCACCTCCCCTCTGGTTAATGTCAAATTTTCCTTAATTTCTATGTCTCTGGTTTTATTTTGCTTGCTTTTTTTGTGTTAATTGGGTTCCTTTTAAAGGTGAGATCATATGGTATTTGTCTTTCACCACCTGGCTTATTTCACTTAGCATAATGCTCTCCAGTTCCATCCATGCTGTTGCGAAGGGTAGGAGCTCCTTCTTTCTCTCTGCTATGTAGTATTCCATTGTGTAAATGTACCATAGTTTTTTGATCCATTCATTTACTGATGGGAACTTAGGTTGCTTCCAGCAGTGGGATATTGTGAATTGTGCTGCTATGAATTGGGGTGCATAGGCTCGTTTGGATCAGTGTTTCATAGTTCTTAGGATATAATCCCAGCAGTGGAATTGCTGGGTCAAAAGGCAGTTCCATTTTTTTAGTTTTCTGACAAAATTCCATACCGTTTTAAACAGTGGCTGTAACAGTCTGCATTCCCACCAACAGTGCAATAGGGTTACCTTTTCTGCACAACCTCACCAGCACTTGTTGTTTGTTGATTTGTTCGTAATGGCCATTGTGATCAGTGTGAAGTGGTATCTCATTTTGGTTTTAATTTGCATCTCTCTAGTGGCTAGTGATGCTGAACATCTTTTCATATGTCTCTGGGCCTGCTTTATCCAGACATGATTATTTCTCCATAGGCAAGTAAGTCTTCTTTAATCCTTATGATGAAAATTTCTGCAGGCCAACTACAGCACAGGTGTTAGTAAGGAACATATAAATGTTGCTATTCCTTTCAGGTCTAGGGTCAGTAATCCAATAGACAGGGATGTACCCAATTGACCTGTACGTATGCATTACTTTAGTCCTATGGAAATGCATACGCTGTTCCTGTTTGATTGCCACTGACCAGTAGTTGCAGCAACATGCAGGTGATCCCCTGAAGGTGCCAACAAGCACTTCCCTTGACTCCCTCTTACTCCACAGGCAGAATCTCCTGTGCACCCACTGTTATGTTTATACATCATTTGAGCCTTGAATACAGTCCATTTTTGACATGTGGAGCACTTCCAAAAGATAAGTATCAGGGAAACATCCAACTCATAATGTACTGTGAGGGGCAGAGAACAGTGCCCATCACACCAGTACCAGGAAGAGAGAGTGGACTAGATAAACATGGAGACCCTACCTGGAGTGAACTTCCAGGAAATATTGTATTTTCTTTTTGTTCTTTGAAATGATCAAAGCATTGAAGGCCACAAACTTTAAGTCTAACTTTGGTCACCTCCCAAAAATCTTATGCAGTGTTCTTACTTGTTATTTTGCAGTTGTTTGTTATGGCAGTTTCTATTTTATTTCCTTTCTGCCCCAAGAGTCGGACATTGTCGATAATTTCTGCCAAGTTTTGTTTATATTGCAAAGTTATTAATAAATGTGGTTCATTCTAGTTTTGCTTTGAAGTTTATTTACATGTTCTTGAAGACTTATGTGCTATGACCGAAGAGACTAACAGTTCCATTTGTAGAGTACGCCTTAGGAGAGGAGTGGTTGTGTCATCAGCTTATAGCCATTCACCTTCTCTAAAAACTGCCAGAACATATGACACACACCTTTTCCCACTCCTTGGCTTGTGGTTTCACTCAGTAATTGGTGTTCCCTGATGAAGAGAATTTCCCAGGCGTTACATAGTTGAACTTATCATTTCCTCCCCCTTTACTATTAGTGCTGTTTGAATCCTGGTGAAGAAATGTTTTGTCTACCCCAAGATCATGAATATATCTTCTACATGTTCATTTTAAAGTTCTATTATGATACCTTATACATTCAGATCACATTTAACTGGAGATTATTTCTTTTACAAATGGTATGAGATAAGGTTTAGGGAAACACTTGATATTTTGTCCTCAGCCTTTGGGTCTTAGCAAAAATGAAGGTGGTAAGAGAATGTTTTTACCAGCCTATACATGGAATTGAGCAAGTATATTATGAACAGTATCCCAGGTGAAGGGATATCTCATACAAAGGTCTGGGGAGAGGAACACAGAGTGGCTGGAGGGAAAACTAGAGTGCTAGGCAAAGATCAGGTAATGAATAGAGGGTGTGGTAATCCACCTGGTGGAGTTGGAACCTCATGGCGCAGTCAGTGGGAAACCATCACTCTCCTTGAGAACTACTGGTGAGATTTGCATTTTATAAAGCTCACTCTGGCCCCTGCATGGTGATTTATGTAAGACGAGATGGGGGACAGGAAGACCAGTGAGGAGGCTGCTGCAAGTGATAGAGAAAGTGGGTTGAGGTAAGGACAGTGGTATGCAGATGAAACAGAAGGGAAAGATTATTTGAAGGGAGGGAATTAGGAAGCAGAATCCACAGGCTCCAATGACTGACTGGACACGAGGGGTGTGATAGCCAGATCTGTGTCCTGAGTGCCTGGAGTTGGGACACTGGGGGGAGCAGACCATGAAAAGGGGAATGAGGGCCCTCTTGGCCGATAGGTCCACAGTCACCTGTCGAAACTCATAGAAGTTTCAGTCCTGTCATCCTATTCACTGTGCTCTAGACTGTCTCTTGCCCACAGCGATTCACTCTTTTAATAATCTTTGGGGGTTTATTATGTTCCAGATAACATTATAGGTACTGGGGATGACAGAGTCCCAGTGCTTGGGAAAATCACAGGTTAATAAGACAAGACTAAAAGTTAAGCAGAAAAATTCTACATCAAGATGGTAAGTACAGGCACAAACAAATATGTATAAGTTAACATTGGAGGAAGGTGGTCAAAAGGTGCAAACTTTCAATTGTAAGATTAACAAGTACTAGGGAGGCAATGTACAACATGATGACTGTAGTTACCACTGGCATATGATATCAATAGGTAGGAAAGTAGTTAAGAGAGTGCATTCTTGGAGTCCTCATCCCAAGGAAACAATTTTTTCTTTCCCTTCTTTCTTTCTTTTTATTGTATCTGTATGGGATGATAGATGTTAGCTGAACCTATTGTGGTCATCATTTCACAATATATATGTCACCCTGAGCTTAGACAGTGATGTAAGTCGATTATTTCTCAATGAAACTGGGACATAGGAAGAAAGAGAAACTTAAAGACATAAAAATTAATCATTATCCTATGACACAGGAATCCCCCCTCTGGCTTGTTATCCACAAGAATGGAAATCAGTGTCTGCAGCAGGTATTAGCACCTCAGTGTTCATGGCAGCACTATTCTCAAGAGGCAAGCCGTGGAAACTACCTAAATGTCTGTCAGCAGATGAGTGGATAAGGAAAATGGGGTATGTACATTCAATGGAATATTATTCAGCCTTAAAAAGATGAGGAAATTCTGTGATATACAACAACATGGAAGAACCTTTGAAGACATAATGCTAAGTGGAATAGGTCGTCACAGAAAGACAAATACTGCATCTTTCCATTTCCACGAGGAATCTAAAATAGTCCCACTCTTTAGAATCAGAGTCAGATGGTGGTTACTAAGGGAGGGAGAGAGATGGGGTGTTGCTACTCAGCGGGACTCAAGATTCATTTATGCAAGAGGGAGGGAAGTTCTAGCCTCCATACTGTTATGTACACATGGGGCCTATAGTTAACAGCACTGATCTGTACACTTGAGTTGTTTTAGAGTGTAGAGCCCATGTTCACTGTTCTGACCATAATAACATAACTTTAAAACAATAGAAAGAAAACCACCCGAGACTCCCATTTAATGGAATAAAATGAATGATAAGAAACACACAAAATATTCTGTAAACTAAAATGCCAAACTGCATTTAAGGAGGGTGGTCAATAAGTATTTCTGAAGTGAAGAAATGAACACATTTCTAGAAGGAGAGAACAAAGACTGAGATGTTGTTTACTTGGCACCTGAGGTTCTACTAAGGGTGGT